ATCATGTAATAGCAGAAGAATTGGGAAAGAAACCGTAATTCAAAGTAACACTGAGCTAGTGGAGAACTTTACCATTTTCCCTTCTCCAGTGTTTCACAGCCTACCTTGAAGTCAGCCTGAACTGGGAGGTGGACATCAGTGCAAAGAGAGCTCAGGAAAGTGTCTCCTAACACACAGAAAGAGTACAAGAAATAACCCCCCTTTCTCTTTACTTCAGACATTGCTGATAAGTCTGAACTCTTTACTCTTTACTCTATTTTCTCATGCTGTAGCCCAGAAGCACCTCATTTTCTGATAGGTAGAGTTGTGATCCAAGTAGGGTGGGTTGTGTTTTATTTCTTTTAATCACTGTTTTCGTACTCTCCCCGTCCTTTTACTGCTTGACCCTGAATGTGGGCAGTCACGGTAGGGAAGGTGCAGAGTGGGATACACAATGCCCCCGTTTCTTGGATGGAGGGGCTAAAAAAGAAAACCCCCGGGAATCAATAAAATAAGCTTCTAGGAAGACCAACAAAGGACAAAAGTAGAGAAGATTTAAATTACCAATATCAGGAATGAAAAGCAGATGTCACTACAGACCCCAAAGATAATAAAAGGATACTAAGGAAATCCTACAAATAACTGCCCATAAATTCAACATCTTAGAGTAAATAAATCAATTCCATTTCATAATCTGACAAAATTCACTAAAGATGAAATAATCTTCATAGTCCTTCAACTATTAAAAATATTGAATTCATTGTTTAAAATTGATTTTTAAAAAATATCCAGGCCCTGGAGGTTTCACTGCCAAATTCTATTTAACATTTGTGGAAGAAATAACACCAATTCTACCTAATCATTTCCAGAAAATAGAGAACATTTCCCAAATTATTTCATAAGGCCAGCATTTCTCTGATACCAAAATCACATAAAGACCCAAGACTTCCATAGATAACATATCCCTTATAAACATAGATGCAAAAATCCTTAACAAAGCATTTGTGCATCAAATCTAGCAAAATATTAATATACCACAACTAAGTGGGTTTTATCCCAGGAATGCAATGTTAGTCCAATATTTGAAAACTAAATCAATGTGATTCACCATATTAATAATCTAGAGATGAGAAACCACATGATTATATAAATTAATGCAGAAAAGCATTTGGCAAAGCAACACATTTTCATGATAAAAATTCCCAGTTAACTAGGCACAGAAAGGAATTTCCTCAATGAGATGAGATGAGAAAGAATATCTACAAAAGAACTGGGAACAAGGCACGGATGCCCACATTCACCACTCCAATTCCACGTTAGACTGGAAATCCTAGCCAGTGCAGTACATCAAAGGAAAAAAGATATACAGTTGGAAAGGGAGGAATAAAAACTGTCCCTATTTGCAGACAACATGATGGCCTATGTATAAAATCCCAAGGAATCTGCAAAACAACAACAAAGACCCAGAACTAATAAATGGGTCAAGGAAATTTGTAGGATATAAATTCAATACACAAGAATCAATCATTTTTCTAAAAACTAGCAGTGAACAATTTGAAACCAAAATTTAAATAACAAGTACCATTTTCAATGGCCCCAAAATTATTAAAAAGTTGGGCATAAATCTAACAAAACATGCACATGTTCTGTATGTAACATGGTGATGAAAGACATCAAAGAAGACCTAAGGAAATGGAGAGAGATGCCACAGTCATGGATTAGAAGACTCAACACAGCGAAGCTGCCAATTCTCTCCAAAATTGTATCACAGATTTAATACAATCAAAAATGATAGCAGGATTGTTTTTGGTAAATGTAGGCAAGTTCATTAAAATTTATACCAAAAGGGAAAGACTCTAGAATAGCTGCAGCAATTCTGAAAAAGAGGAATAAATTTAGAGGAATCACATTACCCAATTATAAGGCTTAATATAAAGCTATAGTTGTCTAGATTGTGTTGCAAAGGGATAGACACATTTATCAATGGAACAAAATAGAGAGCCCAGAAATATACCCTCACAAATATGTCCAAAGGATTTTTGAAAAGGATGTAAATGTATTTCAGCGGAGAAAAGATGTCTTTCAACAGTGGTATTAGAACAACTGGCTTTCTATAAGTTAAAAAAAAAAAGAACCTAAATCTCACACTTTATACAAAAGTTAACTCAAAATGAAAATTATAAAGCTATAAAACTTTTAGAAAAAAACATAGGAGAAAATCTTCATGACCTGGAGTTAAGAAGAGAGTTTAGTCATGACACCAAATGCATAAATCCATGAAAGGAAAAAATAAATTAGACTTGGTAAGTATTATAAATTTTGCAACAGACACTGTTGAGAATGAAAAGACAGTTATAGTCTAAGAGAAAATAGTTGCAAATCAACTACTACTCCAAAATATATGAAGAACTTTCAAAATCAACAATAAGAAAACAATCCAAATAAAAAGTAGGCAAAAGTCTTGACCATAAACTTCACCAAATAAGACACTGTATATGAAAGTCAAGTAAGCGTATGAAAAGTTTGCTCAATATTATTGGTCATTAGGGAAATAAAACCACAATGAGAACCTACTACATACCCACTAGATGGGCTAAAATAAAAAATACTGGCAATACCAAAGGTTGGAGAAAAGGCAGAGTACTGGAGCTCTCCTTCACTGCTGTGGGTATGCAAAATGGTACAGCCACTCTGCAAAAGCTTCACAGTTCTCTTAAAGCATATGACCCAGGGGTTCCACTCCTGAGCATTTACCCTGCAGGAAGAAAAATGTTCACACAAAACCTCTACACAAACGTTTATAGCAGCTGTATTCATAATGGCCCCAACCTGAAAATAGCACACTGTTCTTCCATTGGTGGATAACCAACGGTGGTCTATCTGTACAGCTGGATACTATTCAGTAACCGAAAGGAACGCATCACTGATCAAAGAACAGTTGGAAAGAACTCCAAGGCATGACACTTAGTGAAAGTAGTCGATCACAGATTATATACCATATGGCTCCACTTACATGACATTCTCAAAACACCAAAGCTTTCATGATGAAAACACATTAGTAGTTACAGGGGGAGGGTTCAGCACACACCAAGAGGGAGTGCTTCAGAGAGGTGGGATGGTGGGGTGTCTGTGATTACATGACTACATACATGTTAACATTCAGACCCTTGCACCTCTTTAAAATAGGACCAGAGAGGAAAAAATTTAAATCTATTCTGTCACTTTGTATGTATTCTCATTCAGTCCTCATAAGGTGAAAAATTGGCTTATTATCCACATCTCTCAGACAAGAAACGAAACTCAAGAATACTCAGGAACTTGCCTAGAGCCACATCATAGTGGCAGCGCCTGGAGTCCCCTGCCCAGCCTCTTCAGCACTGACACCATCAAGTCTGCATGTAGTGTAAGCCATTGGAGACAAGAGACTGCCCCCTTTGTTGACGTCACGTTTGGCTTCTGGGCACAGCCTTGGTCAGCTTTGAGCCAAATGACCCTTAGCAGGATCACTTGGGCTCCCTGGGATTGGTCTGCATTCATGGGTTGGATGTGGTGGTCTTTGAGGTGTGTGAAAATACTGAAGTAGCGGAAAGAATGCTGGACTAAGGACCACCAGTGATCAATCTTGACCCCTCCCTAGATAACTTCCCAGGGTGGTGTTGCTGTCCCTCAGGAGTACATTTTAAGCCCAGAAAGTGTACCCACCTGAGCTTCAGACAGCATTCCTGACTACCTCAGATGTCTCCAGAGTAAGTGTAAAGAAAACACACACCAAATTTCAAAGAGCTGGCAAAAAACAGGAATGTTGGGTATCTCATTAAGGATTTTCATATTGATAATATATTGCAGTAAGTAATAGATTTATTGGCTTAAAAATAATAAACGCATGTCACCTGTTTCATTTTTCCTTTTGTTAACATATTTCTATTGATAGCACACAGAAGGCATTGTCCAGGGGGAGAACCAGGCTGGGGCTCTCACTGTCCCCCCCTTGGAGGTCACTAGGTTGCAAGGGCAGGTTCTGTCTTGATCCAGCCCAGGACCCCGGGGCCCATCTTCAGTTCTCTCTCTACAGTCAGGACTCCATGGGAGGGAAAGGAAATTTAAGACAGTGGTGAAATAGCTTCACTTAGATAGCAACCTCCCTACTAGTAAGTTCGTTCATTACATTCTTTAACTTTGCCAGAACCTGTGGTCTTTAAAGCACATTCAAGTCCCCCAAATCCCTGAGACTGGCCAGCCACTTACTGGAACTGGGTCTGAGCAGGTGCAGCATGCTCAAGAGTGGCCCAAGGAGGAGAAAGCCTGGCAGCAGCTCCCCTGTCTTTCTGTGCAGTTGCTGCCAGGCCACCACATCTGGGCAGGCATGGAAAAATCAAAGGCCTCAGTGACAGAGTAGGATCTCAATTAATTCATCCCTATTTACTGTCACTCTGAGGGGCCAGCACCACCGGTATGGGGTTATGGTTGCACACTCGTGAGCAGCATGGGGTGTCACCTCAGCAGGGAGGAGTTCAGGGCAGCTGTGCCAACATCTGCATCTCTACTCTTAAAAGTGACTGGGGTCCTCAAGCAGGTTTTCTTTGTGTTGTATCTATCAATTTTTACTGTGCAAGAAATTAAAGCTGAGAAAAATTTCAAGTATTTTTTATTAATTTGTTTTTTAAAAAAAACCATTATACATTATAAATAGACATCTTGTGAAAAGTGTTTTCCACAGCAAAAAATTAGTGGGAAAGTGGCACTGTTTTACATTTTTGTACAAACCTCTTTAAGACCAGCTTAACAGAAGCTGATTCTCTTATCTGCAGCTGGGCCATTGCACTATACACATCCTATGGCCTCTGGGAAACTGGGCTTTGTGCTGTACCACACACCCTTCTCTACAATTTTACTGTAACGCTAAGACTTCAAGTTAGTATTTTTTCCCCTTCTGGAAGACCCATCATGAAGGTGGGAGAATGAATAAGCACTTATCCACAATTATCAAGCATTCACTCCTAATGAAAATTACTAAGCCATAATTAACAGGAAAATATTTTAATATTTTTGTAGCACAAAAAATTAAACTGAGACAGGCAAGAGGAATGTAAGGGAATCTAGAAAACCATAAATTATATTGCTTGATGTAACCTAGATGCTGAAAATGAACAGGTGTCCTGCTGGCAGTTTTCATTTCTGCTCTCACAGGCAGTCTGGGTGAAATAGCCACCAAAGAGGTCTTTCTTGGGCTCCTGTCCCCTGACTTGTCATTTATGAGTACCATCCATCTTTGCAGATGCAAATGAGTCTATCTGACTGGAGCTCACTTGGATTGCGTCTCAGGTCCCTTCAGGCTGGACTTCTGATTTCTTCTTTCTTTCTGACCCTGAATTCGGAAGAGTTTCTTCCTGAGGTCTTTCTGTCGCTTCAGTTTCTCCTCTTCCTCCTTCTGCTTCACCTTGAAGTGCTCTTTGCTCTGCAGATGTCGCTGCTCCTTGGCCTTCTTCATCTTCTGACTGTGCACTGTGCTCAGAGCATCCAGTAGGGCAAGGATCTGACAAGGACAAACCAGAGAGCACCAGATATTCTTACAGATACAGCACATTCAGGGGACTACATACCTCAGCTGACTGCATCAAAACCAGAAACAACCCATGATCCAAATGAATGGTAACCTAGTGGAAATTTGCCCCAAACTAGGAAATCATAATTTGCATGGAGATATAAGTAAGAGCATATTTACTTAGTGAAATACTTAAAGAATGGCCTTTACCACAAAACGACCTTTGTTAACCACTCTGTGGATACTATACACAACTAAGACACAGTGACTCAGCTGTGTGTCTACTACTTCCCCCTGAAACATATAAAGCAGAGCATGACTAAACAGAAGGGGGGAAATGGACTCTGGCCTTCCCTCTAACATCCAGGTCTAGTGCCTGAGTAAGGCTGGCCCTCGTCCTTTCCTGATGAAAAATGAGAATGCAGGAGAAACACCAAGTGCACTACTGAAAGCACTGTTTTCCCATCTAAATACAACATGTAGGTAGCCATCCAGCTACAGTACCTTTCTCTCATGAGGCTCCCGTACGACGGCTGGTCTCAGCCTGTCCTTTGGCACCTTGCCCACCTTTGCTTGGGTCTTGGGTTTGTTCTTAAATGGCAGGGCTTTCTGCAAGGCTTTTGGAATGTGTAGTGAATTAAAATGTTTCTTTTGCCTCATGATTGGCTGAAAAGAAAAATAAAACAACGACTGTCACTTATTTAAATTACGATCTATGTGCATTTGAAATTTGCATAAAATTTCAGTGGTTGGCTTTTCCACAAGTTCAGTCACACCAGAGTCTGCTGACCATCAGGAATGAGGTGAGGATTCAATCATCCATCAGATATAGATTGCCTCAATGGACGTGCATAGCTCTCGGCAAAACAGAAAAATACATAGAATATATTTGCAGTTTTTCCAAGAAATCAACTGTGCCCATTTCTAGAGTGTGTACCAGGGGGTTCTCAATAGAGCAGATGAATAGATCTAAAATTCCTTTTAATGGAAAATTAAGGCCTTATCTTTGGGACACTGAGGTGGTTTTTTCTTTCCTAATAAGAACTATCTAGCTTTTCATGTTGACTATCAACCACTCTGGATTTAGGAAATAGCTCTTCTTCCAACCAGCAGCCAAAATGTCCCCATTTCTGATTCTCATTAAGAAGTTTAACTTCATTCTATTTCTAATGAAAGGTCAGCCAAAATACTGATATTTATACAACACATGAGATTTAAACTCTCTACAATTTTTAAGGTAATCTAAGTTCTACGCTTAAATTTTGATGACCCAAATTCTTACCTGCCTCCAAAATAGTTATTAGTTGAAAGTTTTGCAAGGTCAACATCAACTATATAGAAAATATTTCTACTATGTATTTAAAATTTATTTTTAAAAACATCATCCATGATAATGTTCAATTTTCTCTGTTCAGAAACCTAAAACACTTTAGAATGAAAGACACCAGAAAAACCATCATCTCAAAAAGAGTAAGTACCACAGGCTGGATAACAGGTACCATGTCCTGAAGGACATTTTAATAGAATTTCATGTAAGATGATTCAAAATTTTATTATTAATTATTTTGTAGAAGAAGGAATGCTTAGGAAACTTATTTTTAGCAGAAACATAAGCCAGTATCCCGAATTATCCTCTCATTATAGAACAACTAAGTAGCCTACATGAAAACAAACCTTTTAAAATGCATTGTCAACCTGTGAAAAAGATAATGGAAGTTCCCAGAAACCAAATTCTAAATGAAAATAGGAATCCAGACAGACACTGACAACTTAAAAAAGAGAAAAAATACTGATGAGGCCAACTACTAGCAAGGATGGAGAACAATTAGAACCCTGATAAGCTGTTAGTGGGAGTCTAATAATCCAGTATGACTTCAGAAAACCATAGGCATCAGACACCGAACCACATGCACACCCTGTAACCCTGAGGTCCCAGCTGTGGGGATCTAACCAACAGAAGTGTATGAAGCCCCTGCACACCAAACAAGTCATGTACAAGCATTCAGGGCAGTATCTGTAATGGCCCAAATTGAACATATTGTCTATCCATAGATAAAATGACATTGCCATGTAACAGAATTCTACCTGACAATAACAACAAACTAAATGTCTGCTATACACAAAGACATGGTTGAATCTCAAAACACTGAATGAAAGAAGCCAAGTAAAATAGTATATGCTGTATTTTATAAAACCAGAAAACAGAACGAATTTACATGGTCTATACGAGGTGAGACAGAGGCCACACTTGAGGTGGAGGTGACTGGGATAGGTCACAAGAGGGGCTTCTGTTGTTCTAGGGATTCATTGCTTGACCCAGGTGGTGGCGATTTGGGTGTGTTAAAGTTCACTGGGCTGTATGTACATTATGACTTGTGGACTGTTCTGTATATATGTGAACACTTTGATTAAAAACTACACTAAAAATTTCCAAAAACCCACGTTGCTTCAATTACAATTGGCATATTAATGTTTTTTTAAGTAATACATGTATATGGTGGTGAAAAAAAATAATTCAAAAGATATGCAATAAAAAGTTTAAGTCTCTTTTCCAACCTACAGAAACCACTATTCCATTTTTCTGTGTTCCTCCCAAAATATTCTATGAATATACAACATGTTCATTTAAGTTTAACATTAGACTTTCTACCTGAAAATTCAAAGCACAGAAAACATCACATATGAAACATCTGGATGACCTCTCTCTACAGAGCACACGTGTGTCTATCTATACCTTATAGAGAGAGTCCTTGTTGGGCTTAAGTTTGACACCATGGGCAAGCCGGAGTTGACCAGTTGTCCGCATTCCTGACCAGGTGTCTTTCTCACCAATTGGTCTCAACAAGGATGTTACTGGATTATAGAAGGCTGGAATGGAGACAGGATACCAAGTTCTCATGAAGACGATATCTGGTAAGACAGGAAATTTACTTTAACATTCTCAAAAGAAGATTCATATCCATCTCATCAAACAAAAGAACAAAACATTCACCCCAAATTTCTCTAGCTAAATGCACAGTATTTGAAGAGACTTTATCAAGTGAACTACTCTTCAGTATCACAAAACTTTTACTGGGTGTGAACCACAAGGCTCCAGACCCAGTGTGACTTTGCACACTGTAAAATATCCTTTAACTGGGAGAGCTGGACCTAACTCCTATTTTCTAAAGACCAAAATTACACCTTTGAATCTACACTGGCTAGAAATCAACAGTGAACGGTAACACATTTATGAAGACACCTAAGGGATATTTACCACTCATCAGCAACTTATCCTCAAAGCTGGCCCGGAAAGCTCCTTCTGGAGCCCGGAGTGCTTTCTTGATCTGTCCCCTTATTCCACTGACAGTCCGAATCACAGCACCTTCAAATTTGGCCACTTCCAAGGCAGAATTAAACATTCCCTACAAGTATATGAAAAAATCACACACACACATACAAAATCTTACTTCAGTTCATAATTATATCCTTGGCTAAAACACAAAAAACAATTCATTGAAGGATGGTAAAATAACCAAAATTTATTTTTTCCCCCTGAAAGTGGAATGACTAGTTCAAAAAGAATACCCCTCTATTTTGTTTCCTCAAAATAACATTCATCAAGACTCTCCTGTGGGCTCATTAGCATGCTCATCACTGATTATCTTTGTAGAAAATCAAGAAGCTATTTCATGGGCCTACATAGCCTGTGCTGTCATCTCACAGGACTAGGCTGCAGCTCATATCCTATTACCTAAGGTACATGCACTCAGAAAATAAAGAGAGCCAGATAAATGCTGGTAGTATTATTATCTCATATTACAAGGACATTTTATGATCATCTTAACTCTGTTTTTAATGGGAATACCCCCACTAATGAAATTTTCAATAACTGTTGCTAAGCTATGCCCCCTCCATGTCGTACTGCATAACAAAGCATGCACTTGTCTGTACTCTTGCCAACAAGTATTTTGTGAACTGCTTTATTTTTCTATTGATCTGTTTGACAAACCTATGATTTTCCCCCTTTCTTTCACAAACCAAAGGGGTAGGAAACAAAACTCAGTGAAGGAAACTACATGTTTTTAATACTACCTCTGTTGATTGTTACACATGGAAATAATAAGCAATAGCCTTGATTACTAAGTATCTATTTCATAGCCCCTTAAAACCTGAGAACATAATTAAATAACAGGAACCAATGTAAAGAAGTAAACTAAAAATATCAAAGACCAAGTTTATAAAAGGTTTAAATACTTTTCTGAAAACATTAAACCTTTATTTTAAAAATATTTCATTCCTCCTTTAACAAAATACACATATATGAATACACAGATATACAGACCTTAATGAATGAAGTATTCTTGAAAATTTTATATGGAAAACCAGTTAGCTTTAATTTCTTCACAATTTTTATGGATTTATCCAGATCAAGGACAACTCCCGTGGCAGCTATCCGAAAATCAGGCTATAAAGGAACCCCCAAAATTTGAATACAGGAATAATATCAGCAAGAGAAAAACTGTAATTTTCTGTGCAAAGCAATAATTACCAAAGTGCATTTTACTTACAATTAGCTATGAAAGGACAAGAAAGAATATCTGATCATGTAAATAGTATGTTAACAAAGCAATCTGAAACTATATTACACATAAGCTAAACTAATGATGATGTTTAAATATTTTCCTGAGGGTGATATAGTAACATAACTTCACAATAATGGCCTATTCAGAATGAAAAGAATATGAGAATTTGGTTATAATGGTTAAGAAACTAAATTTTGGACTTCCAGGGAGTATTGCATCTGCTCATTATTCTGTTTTTTATTAAATGGGGCCAATAAAACCTGCTCTGATTGATCAAATGAAGACTGTGTGAACATACTTTGCTAAACCAGCATTACTAGGGGATATTCATGTCTGGCTGGTATCTGATGTACCCCCAGAACCTATACAGTGCTTAGCACAGGGTGAGCAACACTTAAATGTTTTATCCAAAAAATGCACGAAGATAAGAAATTTCTTCAGTTCCATTACAATTATTCTTCTATCCCCTTTTCTCCATTCCCACACCCTATTTAAAAAGATGTCGGAAAATTAAAAGCAAAGTTTACTAAAAATACAAAAAATGAGTCATTTTCAATTTAAAGTTTCATATACATATTCCACATTCATATGTATTTCTCAAACACAATTTGTAAAACAAAACATCCATGATACTTACCATTATGCCACTGACAGACTGTATTGCCAAGAACCCAGTTCCCTGTGGAGTGATAGGACCTTAAAGAAAACAGCAGAAAGAAATACAGTGAACTACAAATTTTTGGTTCTGTTTTACATATATACTCCAACCCAAAATAGGAGAAAAATCTTATGAACTGGATTTCATGAAAGGAAAAAAGAAAAACTATAACAACACAAAAGCCTTAAAGATTTAATTAACCTATAAGCAAGTTATTCTGATCATATTTTACCCCACAAGGTGGCCCCACAATGCATGTGCTGTGGGGTGTACTTCAGAAGTCTCTGCCTTCCGTTGTGGTCTTCAATATAATAGAGTGGGATGGTCTGAAACCTCCTCCACCCTACAGAAAAGATGACTGGGTCTCGAGACTTGAGGATTTTCTTATACCAGCGATGTTTCTTCAGACGCATCTGAGGGGAAAAGAGATTTCAGTAAAATTATTGGGGGCATTACGTCTGAAGAACCTCAGTTGTCAGGCACACAGCAAAAAGCACCTACCTGTACATAGCCGACATTGCCTTCGCTATTGCCCAAACCACCCAAAATTATTGGGTAGTGGGGGTCAAAGTTAAGCACAAATTCACAGGGGACATTTTTTATCTCAATTCGGACATACATCCCAGGTCGAAAACCCTCATATTGGACTCTGGCTTCATCATCTTGATCTTCAAATTCTGCCCGGTTAAGCTATATACAAGAGGGGAAGAGAACTATAAAAATCCACAATGCTTGTTAACTTCAATAAATGTAGGATTAATATTTTAAAAATAGCAATTTCTAAATAAAGGAACATGGACAGAATTGTTTATGCTTTAGCCCAATTACAAATGATATGCATTTTGTCTTTACAGTTTGCTCAGGATATGTCCCAGCTGCTTTCCTGTCTGCTGCTGTAAGGCATAGTTAATGCAGGCACTCTGGAAGCAGCCCTTCGTGCTGTTCAGCAAATACTCTAAACTCTCCGAGTCCACACTTCCTTTTCTTATTCTGCAAACAATTATCTCCCATTTTTTCCCCTTTCTTCAAACATCAATATCACTTCCCTCATCCTCACTCTCAGATGTTGACTGTTCCAAATTCACACAAAAAGCAAGCAGTGTAAAGGAATTCTACAGCCAATATTTCCTTACCACTGAAAGCTCTCCTGGGCATCTGTGACAGGTAATTTGCCGATGCCTCTCTACTCAGTGCTCAACTAGCTTACAATCATCTACTCTTGTTGGACTTTATTCCAACAGATTTACCTGTTATTTTTCCCGTTTTAAAACCTCCTTTTGACTTCACTACTACTAAATATTGCCCTATTTCCCTGGGACACAGAGAAGAAAATGCCACAGAAGTTTTCTCTATTCAGTCTCCAGTTCCTCTGCTTCCAGTCCATTAATTCCCTAAAATCAGACTTTAACCCACACTCCATACACCTGCTTTCTGAAATTACTGAAGGCTTCCACACTCCTAATCCAGTGGTCAACTCTGTCTTCATGGAAGTTCAACAGTGCTTAACAGGTCAGCAGGATTTGAAGCAATTTATCACTTCCTTCTCCAGCGGAGTTATTCTGTCTCCTGCAGGCTGCTCAGTCCCCACTGCTGCTGTGCCCTGCCAGCCCTGCCTCTCACCAGGGGGTATACCCAGGCAGTTCTGGCCCTCTCCTCACCTGTCTCTACACTCACTCCCCATGCCTTCCCATCCAGCTCATGGCTTTAGGAGGCATCTAGCTGCTGAGGACTGTATATCTCAGTCCCTGCCCCAACCTCCACCCAGAACTCCTCACTCACTACTTGATGTTCTACTTGTTGGAAAGATACCCTACACCTGACAACTGCAAACACCATCTTCCTGGTGAGAGCTGCACCAGCTAGAGGCTTTCCTATCTTTCTTCTGACAACCCAATCCTTCCAGTAAGCCGTCCTTACTTCCCCTTACACAGGCTACATTCGATGCAAGAAATCCTACTAATCTACTTTTCAAAGTATATCCAGATTTGACTCTTCTCTTTCCCCTCCACTGCCACACATCTCCCCAACCCCTAGTGTGTTACCTTAGTCCCACTGAACTCTCACCAGAGCAATCCTTTCAAAGGTAAAGAGGTCACACATCTCTCTCCTTTGCTCAAACACCCACATTGGGCCCCCATTCACTCAAAGTAAAAGCTTCAAAGTCCTTTACAATGGCCAACAAGGTTCTATAGGTGATTTTAAATTGTAAATGGCCTGAAGCAAAGACCTTTACATTTCTTTGTCACTTCTACCAAAGGTCAGTACAGACTTGGAACCACTACATTAATGACTAACCAGGAAATACTCTGACTCTATGAAGGCCTAGGCTGAGCAAGCTAGTCAATGCCATTTTCACAAACCACATACTTAATTTTCAGAAAGCATGTAAGGTATGTTCCAGCTTATAGGGACTCTTGGTGGCCCCAACTGTCAAAGTGCAGTTCATGCCACCAACCACATACACATCTTTGTGTCTCCTTCAAGGTGGGTGGGGGGGTTCATCCACTTGCACACCTGTTTGGCATCCTCCAACAGGAGGCCCAGGCTAGCTCCTTCTCAGGGATCCACATACTCCCTTTATCTCCATATCTGGTCTGGCACTTGAAATATCCTCTAACTCTGGCCCAGGTGAATTTTCAGAAACCCTCCCCATGGAGCACTGGTGCACACATACGCCACACAGGCCAACAATCACCTACCTGTTCAGATTGCCTCATTATGGTTCCAGGAAGCAGTAACCAGAAGGCTAAGACAATACCTGCACTTAAATAAACACTATGTCACAAAACACTACACTGTGAGATCCTCAAAAGCAGCAGACAGGTTGAAACACGTTTGCTTCCTGGAGGTGTGGTACAAAACCAGTACTGCTCTTTGGTGAAATTTCTAACTCAAGAAACAATTAGATGAATAAACACACTCATCTGCATCTCGACCTAGGAGTCCAAAGGCAAGGCACAGAAGCAGGTCAGGGAGCAGAGATCTAAACACTGTGCATTCACAACACTCTACAATAGCCTTGAAACAAGGCTGAAAGAACACTAGTTTTCTTACCTGTGCTTGTTTTTGCATTTCTCCCTTAAGATCATCAAAATACGTGCTTTCTCCTTCATCATATTCTGCATCAAACATCTCCTTCAATTTTCTTTTCTTCTCCAAATGCTTTTTCTTGGCACTTTCCTCTGTGTTAGGATCAATTTCTTCCTTAATGTCTTCCTCCACATCTTCAATCTTAAATTTCCAGAAGAGAAAATTTTATAAAACTTTGCAGAGATTTAAACATTAAAGCAGATTTAAAGTTCCACTTGAGCTGCAAAATCTTATGATCATCATGAAACAAAACACAGCCTTTGCCTCTTAACAACATGTAATGCTACAAGAAACATTTAGACATCTGCATTACATTTAGCTGCCTACAATAATCTGGCTGGGATGCCAAACATAAATAAAAGTAACAGCAAATGTCCCCAAACCAGATGCTCCGCAGACACAGTTCTAAGGAAGTATTAGGGAGAACAGTGAATTGGTTTTTTTAAATGACACTTAAATTTAAGAAGAGGAGAATGATGGAAAAAGAACGGTAGAGAGGAAGACAGTGGCCCAAGGGTTAAAACTTTCAATGGCTGAAGAACCACAGTGAAGATGTAGTAGGTGTCACCCCAACAATCAAGGATAACAAATAAACCAGCGACCTATGGTGTATCCCCACCATCCATCCAGTCTGTAACCTACACATGTAATGAGTTAAGATCTGCAATTCTCAGCATGGGCCTGAGAACGTCCTGACCACGGACCAAAGCCAGTGTCTGTGGTCAGCCCTGGCAGTTGTACCTGGGTATCCGGGCCTGATTCACCCTTGTGCATGTCCCCTGTTTCCAGGTCTTCAAAGTCACCATAGAGCTCCTCTGGGAAAAAAAACATCCAAATGAATCCTCTGTGAACAGGGACTGTGTGTGATGCTCTAGCACTACTAGGTGCCCCATGTGCTCTGCACCCCAACTTCATTTTACTGTTCCTACTGCTACACACCCCAGAAGAACCCTACACTCACTTCTTTTTCTTGTTAAATTATCAGTATTTCACTACCTGCTTAGGTTAAGTAAATGGACTCTATCCATGTTTCCACACTTTACTCTGAAATCCCACTTAGCTGTTTTTCTAGTACAGGTGATGGATACCCTGGAGTCCCCAAATCAACAGTTCAAAGAGTGACTTGAAAATACCCTGGCTTGGTAAAAGCATACATGAAAAAGGTCAACACAATGTGTGACATACCCAGGGAAAATTTGAGATTATATCAAGTACAGCATTTACACCCAAAACAGTGCCAAGCCACATGAAGAGTTCATTCATCCATTTGTTTCTGGAGCTCTTAGTTATGGGTCTTAAAAGAAAAAGATGCTAAAACTCCTTTGGGAAGCAACATTTAGAAAGGGTTGTTAAAACATCTTTCTATAAGGAAGAGCCAAGAACTGAGGAGCCCAAGAAAATATACAAGATGTGAAGATTTCATTTGTAATAAGAACAAAAAGGATAAAATACACAGGAATAAACCTATCAAGAAATGTGCTGGGACTTTATTTTTAAAACTTAAAAAGCTTTAATATGCTACCAAAGGACACATGGAATAACATTAGCTACACCAGTAAGTGCTTCTGACACCAGGCACTGCTCTGAGGACTCTGGAGGCCTTAACCACATTCTTCAAAAGGACCCAATGAAGAGGTGTTACTGAGATCTACTGAGCAGATGAAGATTACCATGTGTTTGGAAAGGAAGACTCAGTATCAGGAAGATGCCAGTTCTCCCTTTCACAGTTACAATAAAAAATGCCACCAGGGACTTCTGGTGTGGAATTCACCAGGGGGTATACCCAGGCAGTTCTGGCCCTCTCCTCACCTGTCTCTACACTCACTCCCCATGCCTTCCCATCCAGCTCATGGCTTTAGGTAGCATCTAGCTGCTGAGGACTGTATATCTCAGTCCCTGCCCCAACCTCCACCCAGAACTCCTCACTCACTACTTGATGTTCTACTTGTTGGAAAGATACCCTACACCTGACAACTGCAAACACCATCTTCCTGGTGAGAGCTGCACCAGCTAGAGGCTTTCCTATCTTTCTTCTGACAACCCAATCCTTCCAGTAAGCCGTCCTTACTTCCCCTTACACAGGCTACATTCGATGCAAGAAATCCTACTAATCTACTTTTCAAAGTATATCCAGATTTGACTCTTCTCTTTCCCCTCCACTGCCACACATCTCCCCAACCCCTAGTGTGTTACCTTAGTCCCACTGAACTCTCACCAGAGCAATCCTTTCAAAGGTAAAGAGGTCACACATCTCTCTCCTTTGCTCAAACACCCACATTGGGCCCCCATTCACTCAAAGTAAAAGCTTCAAAGTCCTTTACAATGGCCAACAAGGTTCTATAGGTGATTTTAAATTGTAAATGGCCTGAAGCAAAGACCTTTACATTTCTTTGTCACTTCTACCAAAGGTCAGTACAGACTTGGAACCACTACATTAATGACTAACCAGGAAATACTCTGACTCTATGAAGGCCTAGGCTGAGCAAGCTAGTCAATGCCATTTTCACAAACCACATACTTAATTTTCAGAAAGCATGTAAGGTATGTTCCAGCTTATAGGGACTCTTGGTGGCCCCAACTGTCAAAGTGCAGTTCATGCCACCAACCACATACACATCTTTGTGTCTCCTTCAAGGTGGGTGGGGGGGTTCATCCACTTGCACACCTGTTTGGCATCCTCCAACAGGAGGCCCAGGCTAGCTCCTTCTCAGGGATCCACATACTCCCTTTATCTCCATATCTGGTCTGGCACTTGAAATATCCTCTAACTCTGGCCCAGGTGAATTTTCAGAAACCCTCCCCATGGAGCACTGGTGCACACATACGCCACACAGGCCAACAATCACCTACCTGTTCAGATTGCCTCATTATGGTTCCAGGAAGCAGTAACCAGAAGGCTAAGACAATACCTGCACTTAAATAAACACTATGTCACAAAACACTACACTGTGAGATCCTCAAAAGCAGCAGACAGGTTGAAACACGTTTGCTTCCTGGAGGTGTGGTACAAAACCAGTACTGCTCTTTGGTGAAATTTCTAACTCAAGAAACAATTAGATGAATAAACACACTCATCTGCATCTCGACCTAGGAGTCCAAAGGCAAGGCATAGAAGCAGGTCAGGGAGCAGAGATCTAAACACTGTGCATTCACAACACTCTACAATAGCCTTGAAACAAGGCTGAAAGAACACTAGTTTTCTTACCTGTGCTTGTTTTTGCATTTCTCCCTTAAGATCATCGAAATACGTGCTTTCTCCTTCATCATATTCTGCATCAAACATCTCCTTCAATTTTCTTTTCTTCTCCAAATGCTTTTTCTTGGCACTTTCCTCTGTGTTAGGATCAATTTCTTCCTTAATGTCTTCCTCCACATCTTCAATCTTAAATTTCCAGAAGAGAAAATTTTATAAAACTTTGCAGAGATTTAAACATTAAAGCAGATTTAAAGTTCCACTTGAGCTGCAAAATCTTATGATCATCATGAAACAAAACACAGCCTTTGCCTCTTAACAACATGTAATGCTACAAGAAACATTTAGACATCTGCATTACATTTAGCTGCCTACAATAATCTGGCTGGGATGCCAAACATAAATAAAAGTAACAGCAAATGTCCCCAAACCAGATGCTCCGCAGACACAGTTCTAAGGAAGTATTAGGGAGAACAGTGAATTGGTTTTTTTAAATGACACTTAAATTTAAGAAGAGGAGAATGATGGAAAAAGAACGGTAGAGAGGAAGACAGTGGCCCAAGGGTTAAAACTTTCAATGGCTGAAGAACCACAGTGAAGATGTAGTAGGTGTCACCCCAACAATCAAGGATAACAAATAAACGAGCGACCTATGGTGTATCCCCACCATCCATCCAGTCTGTAACCTACACATGTAATGAGTTAAGATCTGCAATTCTCAGCATGGGCCTGAGAACGTCCTGACCACGGACCAAAGCCAGTGTCTGTGGTCAGCCCTGGCAGTTGTACCTGGGTATCCGGGCCTGATTCACCCTTGTGCATGTCCCCTGTTTCCAGGTCTTCAAAGTCACCATAGAGCTCCTCTGGGAAAAAAAACATCCAAATGAATCCTCTGTGAACAGGGACTGTGTGTGATGCTCTAGCACTACTAGGTGCCCCATGTGCTCTGCACCCCAACTTCATTTTACTGTTCCTACTGCTACACACCCCAGAAGAACCCTACACTCACTTCTTTTTCTTGTTAAATTATCAGTATTTCACTACCTGCTTAGGTTAAGTAAATGGACTCTATCCATGTTTCCACACTTTACTCTGAAATCCCACTTAGCTGTTTTTCTAGTACAGGTGATGGATACCCTGGAGTCCCCAAATCAACAGTTCAAAGAGTGACTTGAAAATACCCTGGCTTGGTAAAAGCATACATGAAAAAGGTCAACACAATGCGTGACATACCCAGGGAAAATTTGAGATTATATCAAGTACAGCATTTACACCCAAAACAGTGCCAAGCCACATGAAGAGTTCATTCATCCATTTGTTTCTGGAGCTCTTAGTTATGGGTCTTAAAAGAAAAAGATGCTAAAACTCCTTTGGGAAGCAACATTTAGAAAGGGTTGTTAAAACATCTTTCTATAAGGAAGAGCCAAGAACTGAGGAGCCCAAGAAAATATACAAGATGTGAAGATTTCATTTGTAATAAGAACAAAAAGGATAAAATACACAGGAATAAACCTATCAAGAAATGTGCTGGGACTTTATTTTTAAAACTTAAAAAGCTTTAATATGCTACCAAAGGACACATGGAATAACATTAGCTACACCAGTAAGTGCTTCTGACACCAGGCACTGCTCTGAGGACTCTGGAGGCATTAACCACATTCTTCAAAAGGACCCAATGAAGAGGTGTTACTGAGATCTACTGAGCAGATGAAGATTACCATGTGTTTGGAAAGGAAGACTCAGTATCAGGAAGATGCCAGTTCTCCCTTTCACAGTTACAATAAAAAATGCCACCAGGGACTTCTGGTGTGGAAAAGATAGTGTAGACATGTTTCATTTGTTCTTCCTAAGTATAACCAACAATAGGATAACACAGAGCATAAGTGACAACCAATGAACTCTGAACGCTGGAAGCAAAGACAGGCTGGTGAGGGAACCCAGGACTAGAGGACTAACATAATGGCTACTGTCTCATTACACCACGACCTGCAGAAAGGTGACTGGGGGTCACTGTTTCCAATCCCCAAGCTAGCAACAGAAGGCAGCTCATTCTTCCCCCAGATGGACAAAGATCTTGCCGGCAACACCAGGTAAACAGCAACGCTGCAAGGGGGATGAACTGGGAGACCCACTGTCAGTGAGTGATGAGGAGAGGTGTTTGCATCCCTTGACAAGCCTAATCTCTTTTCCTCTACCAAGAATGAACAAGTGGTCAAGGGTCATGGGGCAAAGGGAGATTCTGCCAGGCATGAGACTCTTCACCCCCACCCCAAAACAATGTGTGCCCGGGCAGGACCAGCAAAGATCCCCTCACAATGAGCACACTGGCCCCACAGGCCAATACAAGCTTCCCCCACCTAGCCACACCAGGTGGCCCAACCCGGGGAGATTGCTCTATTTTCTCAGGTGGTACCAGCAGAGACCAGCGGCATCAAACAAACCAAGCAGACCAAAACAGTACCACAAAGGCTCTGAAATTAAACTGTCATTGGAACTGCAGCCCACAAAGTAGACTGGGACCTACACACTAAGCCTAAACAGGAGGACTATCTGCTAAAATTAAAAATTACACAGGACCCAGAGGGTCCTAACATATTAATCAAATGTGGAGGATACAACAGAAAATCACCTGTCTTACCCCAATCCAGGAAAATTCTAATTTGAATGTGAAGTAACAACCCAATGACACCAGTCCTGAAGTGAATCAGATGTTGGAACTATCTGATTAGTATCTTAAAACTATCTGAAAATGCTTCAACAAGCAGCTATAAATCCTATCACAATAACCAAAAAATTGAAAATTTCATCAAAGAAATTGAAGAACCAAATGGAAATTACAGAGCCAAGTAGAAATTATAGAACTGAAAAATAAAATTACACAATATAATACAAGAAATGTTAAAGTTAAAATACAATTACAGTAAGAGAAATTTTAAAAGCTCCCTAGATGCGCTCAAAGGTAGAAGTAGAGATGGCAGAGGACAGAATCAGAGAACTTGAGATCCTATCAACAAAATTCACCCAGTCTGACCAACACAGAGGAACAGCCAAAAAACAAATGAACAGAACCTCATGGCATGGACCTATGGGACAGAAACAAAAAGTCCAACATTTATATGATCTCACCAGGAGATTGAAATTGAAAAAAATAATAACTGCAGTTTCCCAAATCTGGTAAAAGAGAAACTTACAGATTCAAGAAGCTGAACATACCTCAGAGTGAAACCAAACACAATCCACACTGAACTTCCAAAAACTAAAAGTCTTGAAAGCAGCTATAAGGAAATGACAGATTACCTATAGACAATTCAAATGATGGTATATTTCTCCTCTGATATTATGGAGGCCAGAAGGAAGTGGCATATTTTTGAAGTGCTGAAGAAAAGAACTGTCAGCTGTGAGTTCTATGTCCAGTGAAGCTATCCTTCAGAAATGAAGGGGGAAATAAAGACATTCTCAGAGGAAAACTTCAGGAATTGGTTGTTAGGATACCTATCTTTAAGAAATGGATGAAGAAAGTTCTTAAACAGAAAGGAAATTATAAAATCAGCAAGAAAGAAAAAGACCAGAAATATGGATAGAATATCTTTTGAGTTTTTAATATCATATTTGATGAAATTTTTTAAAGCACCCACAGAACATCTACCAAGACAGAACATATTTTGAATAATAAAACACACCCAATGAATCTAAAGATTTGCAATTATAGAGGCACATTCTTAGACTACAACTAAATTAGAAATCAATAACAGAGAAGTAAATTTCTAAATATTTGGTAGTTAAATGACATACTTCTAAACAATGGATAGGTCAAAGAGAAGTCTCAAAGGAAATACAAAAATGCATAGAACTGAATAAAAATTAAAATACAACATATGAAAATTTGTGAGGCACAGCTAACAGTGTAGTGAGACCAATTTACAGCATTAAATGTTCACATTAGAAATGAGAAAAGGTCTCAAACCAATAATCTAAGAAAACCGAACAGTGAAAAATAACTTAAAACAAGCAAAGACCAGAAATAACAAAGAGCAGAAGGCAATGAAATTGAAAATTTGAAAAATGGAGAAAATCAATGAAACCAAAAGCTGGTTATTTGAAAAATATCAACAAAATTAAGTGCCTTCAAAAAATTTACTCCCAAAACTTGAAATTCCTTGAAAAACTGTAATATACCAAAATGCAGGAAAGGTGGAATAATATCAAAATGGTCCTATAACCAATAAAGAAATAGAATTTGTAATTATAAGCTCCCCGCCCAAAAAAAATCTCCAACGTCTGATAGTTTCACTGGAGATTATACCAAATATTCAAGAATCCATCCCAATTCTACACAATCTTTTCCAGAAAACAGAAAAACTTGGGACCCTTTCCAACTCATTTTATGAGGTATTACCTTGATATCAAAACCAAAGATAGTGCGGAAACAACTGCAGACCAGTATTTCTCATGAACTTACATCTAAAATTCCTCAACAAAATAGTATCACATGAAATCTAACAACATATTAAAAAAATTATATATCATGACCAAGTGGGATTTATCCCAGGTACACTAGGCTGGCTCAACAATCAAAAATTAATGAGTGTAATCCACTATATCAAAAGGATAAAGAATAAAGTTCATATGATTATATCAATTGACACTGAAAGGCATATGACAAAATTCACCACCCATTCATGATTTAAATAAGAAACACAGATACCTCTTGGTATGCTAGGAATAAAGAGGAACAGAGCACTGAAGCACATCTAAAGAAAAAACAAACTAATAGCATATTTAACAGTGAAAAACACTGGGGACAAGATAGGATTTCCACTTAGAACTAGTTGTAGGAATTAGGAAAAAAGTAAAAAATAAATAGAAATAAAGAGCACACAGGTTGAGAAGGGAGAAATAAAATTGTCCTTATTTGCAGATAACATGACTGTCTACATAGAAAATCCCATACAATCTACTAAAAACAACCTCCTAGAACTAATAAATGAGTTCAGCATAAATATAACAAAAAGGGCATTTTAATCAGATGGGAAAAGAACAAATAGTATTGGGAAGAACTTGGTGACCACCTAGAAAAAACTGTATCTATGTCTCTCAATTCACACCAAAATGAGTAGTGAATAAATCAGTGATTTAAATGTAAAAGAAAAATGGAATCATGAATTCCTAGAAGAAACAATGGGAGAATTATTTTTTAACCATTTGTTTGCAAAAGACTTTTTAAGGGTAAGATAAATCTCAAAAGCCACTTATGGCAAAATGGATAAATCTGCCTTCTTTTGAAAAAAATTCACATAAGAGAATTATAAAGTGAAAATATAAATGTTAAAATGTGGGGGTAAGTGTGACATCTCCTATCACAAAAAGCTAATTTCTCTAATATATAAAGAATTTCTATAAATAAGAAAAAGGCCAATGTTAAGCCAATAGAAAAACAGGGAAAATATAAGCAAATAAAGTTTGTGAAAAAGTAAATACAAATGGCCCCTTAACACAAGGAAAGATGCTCAGTCTGGCAGAGATTCAAGGTTTTGTTAGCACTCTGTTCATTAACTGTAACAAATGTATGATAACAAGAGGGCAAACTGGATGTGAGGTAAATGGAGCTCTGTAGTATAGTCACAACCTTTCTCTAAATCTAAACTATTATTAAATATAGTTTATTTCTTTAAAGAGATAGGCAAAAGACTCAAATGGACATCTCACAAAGGAAAAGGAAGATATTCAAATGGCCAATAGGCACATGAAAAGATGTGCAGTGTCATTAGTCATCAGAGAAATACAAACCAAAACAATGAGACATGCCTAGGATGTGAACTGAAATTCTCATCCACTGCTGGAGTTCTCTATGAAGAACTGTGGG